CAAAATAAGAGTTGGTAAAATTAATACCACTCTTAGTACCTCTCTCTCTCAAAATAAGAGTTGGTAAAATTAATACCACTCTTAGTACCTCTCTCTCTCAAAATAAGAGTTGGTAAAATCAATACCACTCTTAGTACCTCTCTCTCTCTCTCTCAATAAGAGTTGGTAAAATTAATATCACTCTTAGTACCTCTCTCTCTCAATAAGAGTTCGTAAAATTAATACCACTCTTAGTACCTCGCTCTCTTACCAAAGAAAACAATGAGAGCATATCAACTCTCCCTCTCTGCATAAATCAACATTTACTCAGAGTCTTCTCTCTTTCTCTCCCTGTATAAATCAACACTCAGAGTCTCCTCTCTCTCTCTCTCTCTCTGTATAAATCAACACTTACCAGAGTCTCTCTCTCTATAGAAAAAGAAAAACCAACAAAATAAAGTGTAAATCAACACTTACTCGGCGGTGGGTTGTGGGGTAGCAGTAGCAGGTGGTCGCTCCCCAGGTCCCTGTTGTGTTTCAAGAAATTGCATTAGCAAAGCACACAAGGCACTCTCGGCTCAATAAGAACCAAGAATTTCATAAAAATGTAACTTGATCAGAAAATAAACAAGAAAATAAGCATTACTTCACTCACCATGGCAAACCTCTCTTCCCTCCTTGCAATCTTCCTCTCCCTGCTGGCCTTATTCTTCGCCCTCTTGGCCTCAAACTGATCAGAGAGAGTCTTCTCTCTGGCCTTCTCTGCCTTGCTCTTATGAATGCTCTCCATGAGCACACGCTTATTTTTGAAGACATTTCCTTTGACCTTCATATACATATCATGGTACATGTGCTTGTCAATCTTCTTCGCCTCCCTGTATTTGCGAAGAAGGCGTCGAAGGACCCTCATCCTCCTCATCCAGAGAATCTTGGTAGGCAGTCTTGCCTCCCTCGTTCCTTTCCTCTTACCATATCCAGAGTGCCTTCCTTTCCTCTTTGCCTCGAGGGCTCGACGAGCACGTGATCGAGAGTGAATCTTCTGAGGCTTCTTGATGACAAACCCATCCTTAACCAGCTTCCGAATATTTTGCCCTGCATTCAGTGAAGCGTATCATACTATTATCCTTAACTTGGGCCAAGATATCAAATGGACTACCTTTGGCACGCAAAAATAGAGATTCAGATCAAAAGAACAAGTGAAAAAAAAATTATTTGAATCTACTTAGGACAAGGTCTCCAAGATCAAAAAGTGCATGATTCTGTCGGTCTGTTTATCATGCCAAAGAGAAAAATCAATGGTCGATAACTCAGACTCAGGTATGGAGCCATCCAGGCCCCAAGCCTAAGTCAGCTGGTCAGACTCAGCCAAGACTAAAAAAATCAAAAAATTATCCTCGGGAACTAGTGAGACTCAGATGGTTCCCAAGCTCTTTTAGCAGGTCTCTGAGTCGAACTCACCAAGTTTTAAAACGTTGCGAAAATTTAACATCGCGAAAAATTGAACTCCTCAAAAGTTGAAGAAGCAAACGACACAGAACCAAGGGGACACCCACAAATACACAAATGGCGGCTTCTTAATGAGCAGATAAATAGAAATGAAATATAATACACCCAGTTAGAGGGAGCATATGAACATCAGAAGGAGGCATCTCTTTCTCCATATTAATGAAATAGTAGAAGTTAAAAGGGTTACCAGAAAACAAAATCCTAGAAACACTTGAAATTGAACATGTAAAGGGTTTTCAGAAACCTAGCACTCCAGGATTAAATGCACTTTACCTTCATTAATATATTAAAGTTCAAGAAATCCCTCAGAGGCTAACTGAAACAATGTTAAAAGGAGGACTCATCACAGCATTTCCACAAAGTCACAGAAGGCCCATACCCCTAAGCCGGTCTTCATGTATTCTAGTTGTCAGGGGGAAATCATAGATAATTGTTTCATTGGAAGAACATGCCACTACAATCAAAAAGTGAAGGTCCAGCCACAAGTTCAATATCTAATGCAGTGGTGGTGAAATCCTTCCATCTCAGATTTTTTAATCAATCAGCCAGTACCTTTTCTAAACTTTTAATTTTTAAATATAGGCTTATGATTCCCTCTCATGAGAGGCAAAGGAGAAAGCACAAAAGAAGATACAGTAACCAGGAACCAAGAACCAAGAAGCAGAACATTGATCAGATATCAACCAAATAGTGATGGAAAAAGCTAATCAAAACCTGCATCAGAGTAACAGTGTACCTAGAGAACTTGCATACTATCTCCAAGAGCAAAAAAACTAATAATTATGTAAACATCAGGAGTAACAAACACTTGAGGATCCGGAGAATGCATAAATGAGTAAAAGGTTAGGGATTAAAGACCCACATGAGAATGCATGCTCTAATATAAGCATGCACGCAAAATCTTGCATAACACAATCATGATATCAGTCACCAGAACTCATATTTATTATTCCATGGCACGTGAACTCCAGAAAAAAAAAATGCTGTAATAAGCTTTTGAAGCAAATAATTGAACAACAGTAGCACCCAGGCTATGACCATCCAATGGATCCTCTACTTAGCGATTGGATGGTGAACAGATGAGATCCACCATAGACCAGATGAACAGAGCTGTACACAATTGCTTTCCATTGATAAACAAGGTAACAGGAAGAAACTAAAAATATCATGTACACCTAAAATTGGAAAACCTTAGAACAAGAATCGCTTGAATCATTCCAGAATACAGAACAACAATGATATTTATGTTTTATCATAAATTCTGGAACAGTTAATGCCAATGAGTTGCATAGACAATTGACAGGAGATATGAACTGCAAAGAAAGGATAAGTCATACTTGCATATAATGGTAATAACCAGTGGGGAAAAATCAAAAAGTAATGAACCAGCTATTTTTTACTTAAAAAATAATTAAACTGTGTGTTTTAAAACTAGGAATCGCTCCGGGACTCGGGGAGTGCCTGGTGCGAGTTAGCTCAGCAAGTCCCAGTAGACTCCAATTCCTGCCCAACTTGAACAGGAAAGATTCAAAAATCCAATAAAAGGGGAAAATAAGAAGAAAACAAACAAAAAGGAAAAGAAAGAAGTAGAAATTTAAGAAACCATATACAAATGTGAACAATAAGAAGTCAAATTTTTTATTCAACTTCAGATCTAATAGATCCAAATCTCTAGAAAAGTTTTTGCCAGGTTTAGTTTGATATTTCATCTCACAAACCTGAGAAATAAAGTTTTTTTTGAATCTAAAGCTTTACACTTGATCAAAAATTTAAAACAGCTCTAGGAGCAGATTTTCAAGGTCAAAGGAGCAACTGCTGCAAATAATCAAAAGAAAAGGGGATAGGTCAGACCCTAGTTCAAAATTCAAATCTCATAAGTGCTAGATTTTGTGTTCTTTTTGTTGAATCTCTGATTTGGATTCAATAGAGTACCAAAAATAAATAAATACGGCATGGAATGAACTTTTGGGTAATTCGAGCAAAACCAGGCAAGAAAAAGAGGTCAGAGCCCTAGCCCCCACAAAAAAATAATAATAATGAAAGTGTCAGAAAACTCATCCAAGTTTTAAACAAATTTGCCTGAATTACTACAGAAACTGAAGCGAGTTGGGATACAGTAAGGGCCAAAAATTGAGTTGGAGGCCGTTCAATGCAGTAGGGTGGAGGGTCCAAGCAACATGTCCAAGCCAGGGTGTAAATGAGAGCTTCAAAATATTGATTACAAGTATATGGCACGTTGAATTAAAGCTTTAGCATCTGTGAGTATCAAATATCAAAACCGTATCCACATTTTTCCAATTCAACAGAGTGGACTCACTCCACAAAGTAAAACCAAATTGGCAAATGACAAGGATAGATGAAAAACCAAATTGATAAATGAGAAGGATAGATGAAAAGGTTAGTAGGTTATGATGTAAACTTTTGGGGAAAAATTTTGATTCACAAAAATCATTCTGGTGCCCCTCAAATGTAAAACATTGGATCCAATTATGCACTGAGAGAAGCAATGAAAAAGAGGAAAGCAGCAAGGAAATACAATGCTATTTGAAAACCTATAAAAACAAAGAAGACAGCATCAAAAGGGTATGGATCCCTAGAAAAATTCAAGGCCAAGAGAGAGAGAGAAAGTGTGTGAGATAGCATCTAGAAGAACAGTGGGGACACTAAAAGTGGACAGGTCCAACACGATGAAAAAATAAATACAAATAACAGACAAAGGTGACCATTTGAAGGCCCCCCACAAGTCTTTCAAATGAAAAATGAAACATGACTTTATTTTACTTTTGAAATGCACGCCTTTCTAGATATCTTTCACAAATCATACTAAAAATTATATAAAAAAAAGGTTTTAAACAGAATCCCATATGGCACAACCATGTAGTCGTAGAAGTAAACTACAAGAGAAGCAAGGTTCATGTTGGATAAGAAGCATGTTCTATATACAGAGAAAGCAGTGATAAATAAATGATAAAACCTGATATAAATGAACAAAAAGCAGGGAACTTAATGTATGCATGACTATAAAAATGATATAAACGTGGTATGTCAATGCACCTAGACAATGGATGGGCACCCCAAAAAATGAAAAAAAAAGGATACAAATCTATAGATATTGCAAATACAAAAATAACATTCATGCGGCTACCACTACTTAAATTTTTTGCACAGTTATATCTACAGCACATTAACTTGATCCAGAAAACAAAATATGTAAAGACAACATACTGATAAGAATGCATTTGCATGCAGAAAGAATATCCTTCTACAGCAGCAGATGAGACAAAAAAAATCTGACAACCAAGATTACATGTACATCAAAAGAAAGTAAGTTATAAAAATAAATATAAGGGAAATAATCCATAAAGTAGTTAAAATAAATTACAAGAAACAGGAACCTTTTATTGGACCCCAACTCCAAAGGACTCAAACACAAGAAATATGTAAATGGCAATGCATAACTTGCAAAAGTAAATCATATATTCACAGGAATCAAATTCTATTGTGAAACCAATGCAAAATCACAAATCCATTTTCAAAGGAGACGCTAACACATTCCATGAACAACAATGGCCACAAAAACAAAAAGGTTTTTATGGGTACAAATAGTTTCACATAGTATGCAAACTATTCTATGAAGCATCGAGTTCAGAACAAATCCATGCTCCAACGCACTGTAAGTGTCCAAATATCAACAATACCTTTGCTCTTGTTTCTTCTTTTACAAGTGATATTTCAAATAAAAGCTAACTGAAAGACATTGTCCAACGCACTCTAAGTGCCCAAATATCAACAATACCTTTGCTCTGGTTTCTTCTTTTACAAGCAATATTTCAAATAAAAGCAAACTGAAAGACATTCAGAAACAAAAGGACAGAGACACGTAGGGAGATCATTCCACAAACCCATTGTTTTCATTTATTCCTAAGTAGGCATAATTGTTAATACATTTTTTAAAAGTGACATTTGTGTTGGAAATCCTTTTCATGGTGATATTTCCTCCTTAACAAAAAAATCATAAAGAACTACCTTCGAGAATACAAGGCAATAGAAAACATATAGGGGGACTAGTCTGATGGATTTTTGCGGTTCCAATTTGTTTGATAACTCACTAGGAAAGCCCCAAATCTGTTTGATAACTCACTTGGAAAGAAAACACCCCAAGATTGAAATCACAGAAGAAACACAAAAAAGAAAAGACAATGATGAAAGGAAACAGTTAACATTGTCAGTCTAGACTGCCAGTTTAACCTCACAGAGAGAAGCATACAAAACAAAACCGGACCAATTTGGATTGACAATAGCATCTTTATGATACCAAAATCGATCCTTCATCAGACAAAGTAAGTTTACTCACAATCAAGCCCTAACCCTAGCTTATATCCACGCTTCACGTTCCACCAACCAACAGTGCACGGCTATCGATTCAATGAAATCAAACCAAACCGAAAAAAATATCAAGGAAAATGAACATCCAAGAGCAATAAATATTAAGCAGCTTCATCACATCAGCTCAAAAAAAATCACAACAACCCGTATACTTCAGGGAAAACCAAAGCTCAGAGCTTCAGATCACTTGCAACAAAAAGCCCACTTTAAAGAAACTAGAATTCTTTCTATGAATACATGGAGAAAAGGAAAACAAAAGGAGAAGAGACACATACTAGAGTTGGCCATGGATATCTCGCTGGTCTCATTTGGATCTAACCAGACCTTTCCCTTGCCGCATTTGAGCACACTCGCGGCGAGCCGCTTCTGCAGCTTCAAGGACACCATCGCTGCTTCTGCAAACCCTAGATGAAAAGAGAAGTGAGGGCTGAACGCAAGTGCCCTCTTATATATCCAAAAACCCTATCCCACCTATAAAATGCCCCTAAGTTTTACGATAATACCTTATTTATTCTCTACAAGCACTTGCTTGGTGATCAAGGTACAAAATACTAAAATGAGAAGGAACCCAAATTTCCTTGATTTGAGTTTTTCAAATACAAGTCGTTATTTTTCTTTTTATTTTTTTCATCACTTTAGAAATACTTTTACTCAATGGTTTAAAAAACGGATCGATGACCTAGATCGGGCTTCCAAAAAACCGATCTGGATCGAGAATCGAGTGAATCGGTCAGAATAAAGCTTAAAAAAAATCCGAAAAAATTATTAAAATTCATGATAAATATTGTTTTTTAGGAATTTAATAAGAAATGAGGGTACTCCATTAAGAATTTTCATGTTTTTGAATGAATATGCGAATATTGATATGTTCTTTCCCTGCATGAACCGTCATTCAGCATTTAATTTACATCACACAAAAGGATAAACATATAATTATTATGGAATAAATATATCAACATACATGGACTACAATAAAGCATAAAATTAGTAACATATGATCTAAAAATAAAATGATAGACGACGTTATTGTTCTTCTTGGTCACGCTGGTGTCATTAATTGAATTCGTTTAACAATTCATTGATTCGATCTAAAAACGAATCATCGATATTAGCAGGCGTCTGACTATTCCCAAATCCTTGAGTGTTAGTGTTTTGTTGTGTTCCCAATCTAAAATCCCCGAAGATTGTCCATCCTTCATGCTCACTTGCACTGTCGTGCTCATCTCTACACTGTTGTTGTTGGGACTTGATATGTGAATAATATGGCGAGGATAGGGTGGCCTCTGAATCATCATCTCTCTCATTTTCTCTTTGAATAATATGGATTAAAAAAAAAAAACAAATTTTCAAACAAATCGATCATGGATTAAAAAAAAAAATCGCAAATTTTCAAAAAATTCTATCATGGATTACAAAAAAAATTCGATCATGGATTAAAAAAAAAATCATAAATTTTCAAAAAATTCTATCATGGATTACAAAAAAAAATTCGATCATGGATAAAAAAAAAAAATCACAAATTTTCAAAAAATTCAATCAT